CACTTACAAACTCAGTGTCTTAGCACAAAATACTACTGCCACTTTCTCAGTAAGCTCTAAGTACAGATTCTTATCTGTAGATATTACCTTGGGACAAGTATTTGTTCACTAGAAATAAAGGAAAATAATAATTTTTTTAAAAATGCCACAATTAATTTCAAGAGTTAATTTAACTGGCTAATCATGGCTAATAAAATTATACAAAGATTAAGTTAATATATCACAAAGGATAAAAGGGAGACTTGAGTCATACCAACAACATTGTTTTATGAAGTAATTACAAACTTTCAAGAATATTAAGCTTTTCTACTTCTACATTAGGTTTGTTAAGTAGAGGAAAAGTAAAGAAAATAGTTAACAAAAACAGAAATGCCATTTAGAAGATGTGAACTCACACTATGAACTCATGTATGAACATAAATTTGCTTAAAATACCACTTAAGGATCCAAAAAGGATCAGAAGTGAACAATAACAATTGTCATTATATTAATTGATTTGTCTGAAAGTAATTAAATCCAAAAAAGCTCTTTTTGCTCTTTTGAAGTGCAAGTATTGCATTTTTACACTTTCCATGTAAGAATGTCCAGAGCTTTCTGCAGCTGCGCACAAGTCAATAGCCCAACTGAAATACAGCCTGCATTACTGCTTTGGTCACTTTGTTAGGCATCTTCAGTCACAAAGAAAGAGGCATTTGAACAAGATAGATACAAAATAGTAACATCACGGTTAACATGTATACAAAATAGCTTAGATTTAACAAGTTACCTTATTAAGGTTATTATACTATGCTTCTAAAATACCCAAAAGAATCCTTTGTGGCCAAAAAAAGGGCAACAGTAAGTGAAATGAAGTGTTGCTTTCACTGAATGCAACAGTCTAATTATTGCTTTCTAATTATCTTTTGTTAAGTCCTTAATCTTTACAGTGGGTTTGGGATTTTAAACGTTTCCATGTTAACGTTTTTCTTTTTTAATCTTTAAACTACCCCATATCAGACTACAGTTCTCCTTCTCCTCTGGCTCAGTTTTATAGTCATTCTCACAGCTGTTCTTCAAAATTAAGTAGCTTCCAGTACAAGACTACATATCTTGTTCAGATTAGAATAGGGACTTGGATCTCTTAAAGGAACAGACAAATAATGTTGGGAACACAAGCTGGATATTTCTGGAACTGCATGATATGTAAAATCATGGCTCTGAATAAAAACTTAAGTAAGGTGAATTTTAACCCAGATCACTTTTTCAATCCACTTAAAAGTTGCGTGAATGCTTGCTGCACATAAAAGGGAGCACTAGGAGGCGAGAAAAGTAACAGATTTAAACAAAAAGAAACAGAAGGACTAAAGCAGCACCCCCTTCATTTAACACAGATGAAAACCTTTTAAAGAGAAACAACAATTTGAATAAAACTACAACTTCCGACTAATAACTTTTCATTAAGAGGCTGTGAGAATTGCATGTAGGAAAAAGTAAATCAAAAACATAACAGTGATAACTTCTAAATGAAATAATTTACGCACATTAGCACTTCTTTTACTAGCATACACTCCCTATTCTCAGAATGCTAACACCATTTATTGATGAGGGAGCGAAAGATCAAAAGTTCTTGGAGGATTTAAAGAGACAAAATTCCACATGGAATGGTGGCAAAAGGCATTTTGCTTGTTGACAATATTGAGAAATTTCTGCGAAGGGCAAAGTTTGGATAATTGTGTAAATAACCACATATTGCACCACGTATGACTACAGATTTGTGTGTTAGAAGCAAAGGGGGGGGGGAAGAGAATCAGTAAATAAGAAACTAACATTTATATCAGAAACTTCATATAACATCCGGAGTTTGTGTGTTTATTTAGTTTGACTGTTTGTTTTCTCCTTTGGGATAAATTCCGCAACAACAGAAAGTATTTTTCCTCCCTTCCCTTCCCTCCCCCCTCCTTTTTTTCTTTTTCTTTTTTCTTTTTTTAAAATAAGTATAATATTTAACTTTTCTTTCTTTCTTTCTTTCAAGTCATTCTGCGAAGTCATTCTGTGCAATTTTTTCATAGGTATATTGTTTCCAGAAAACAATAAAACAATAATAGGGCATGAATGCAAACCCCCCCCCCCCCCCCCAATTTCCTTAAAACCTAAAAGAAAATAATCACCTGGAAAAGAGAATCTTTGTTGTGGTCTAGAATTGTAGGATAAATGATCAAAATATAGAAAACAAGAAAAGTAGAATTCACCTAAATCAGTTAACTGCTTCAAAAAGGGAAAAATGCTTCTGATTAAATACAACAACAGCAACAAAAACAAACAAACAAAAGCAAAGACCGAAAAAAAAAACCCACAACACTTTAGAAAGCACAAACCTAAAAAATTGATTTTTGGTATTTTTGGTGAGCCTGGCCTGGAGCAAATCACTAAAGGCTTGTTTAGATTAAAAACAGTATTCTGCTATTTTCTAATTTACCTAAGTTACTTTAATGAATAAAGTGCCTTGACATATGTTGACTCTGTACCTTCAGTGTATGTATCTCATACCAATACCTCATCAGCTTCAGTGCTTTAGGCTTTAAATTAGAGCTAGGCATACTAAGTAAAGGTCAACTGTAGGTCTTCTGTGAAAGCAGAGATCATTACATTGTTAACATATTAAACATAATTATTTTTTTTTAACAATAGGTGGGAAGCTGTTAGCTTCCTCTTCCTATAAATAGCTACAGACAAAACTTGTAAGCTTACTCAGAACATAAAAATATAAAGCCTAATCAATGGGCTGTTTTGCAGCTGTGTCATGGCTACAAAAAAAATGTAACCATAGAATCTTCTTGAAACAGCTGTGAAGATGCCTAATTTGTAATCCTGATTCACTTATGTAAATATTCATAATTAGCTGTTTTAATTAACATTTGTGACACTGTTCATGATCGCAACATAAAACATCGCTGTTTTAATGGTCAATTAAGATGAGAGATAAGATAATCCAGGAGGGCAGGTGAGACAATCTGAGGACAGTCTACAGCATTACAGTAGTGGAAGGATTGTGGTAAGTTAATTGTAGTAGAGTGGTTGTGCTCATGATGTAGAATTTTTGGATGACAAGATGTGATATGTATCCCTGGTTGACTTAGCAGCATGTTTTCTTTCTGTGGTTAAGTTAAATACCATATATATTCTCTTGTAGTAGTATGCAGAATAATTTCTATATAAAGAAAAAATTAAAAATACTGCCTTCTACAACCACCCAGTTAGATGGTTAAGACAAATATTTCAAGTTTGTTAATGTACTTCTTCAATACTAGAAACCTAAAGAACAGAATATTTCTCAAGGATTGAAACCTAAGTAGCTGGTTTAGTCACAAGTTGACTTCAATTGTCTTAGAATTGCTTCTCCAGAAGCCTAGCCTTCACTGATAGATGGAAATTCTGTCACGGGATTTATAAAATCTCATATATATATATATATATATATATATTTTTTTTTTTTCCCCAGATATTTTTGGAGTACATAGCTTCTGGAAACTTGCATAGTTGTATTTTTTTACTATGTTTAGATGGAGGATGTTAGAATGTTAAGTTTTTAGATTGCTGTATCAGCCAGTCTTGAAAAGCCTATTCTGTTCAAATTCACATATAAAACAATACATGTTTGAGTGACATACCTATCAGTCTATGACCATTTTATTGTAAGGTAACTGTCTTATTTGTTGCAGTTATGTGTTTGATTGAGATTACACTAGAAACCAAGAGGAGAAATGCATCTACATAGCAGGAACCTTCTGTGGCTACACATTTTTACTATTTTAAAGTGAATTTTTCTAAACATAGAGTTATAAAATTTCTGAGATATGAAGCCAAGTTAAGAACATCTTGTACAACTTTTTTTCACCCTCAGGCCATACCTAAGTTGCTCTCGGAGATGGGCCAAAACACCACAGTGCAAACTGGTTGCCAAAATAATCTGAGGTTTGTTTGGTTGCCTTAAGCAGTTGTGGTTTTTTGCTTTTTTGGGGGGAGGGAAGGAGGCGGGTGGGGAGGGAGAAGTGAGGGACTCTTTCATTTTAATTTCCTAATTGAGATAGTTGCATGGTATCACCTCACTTTTTGCTTAAAATTGCCTGCAGAATTTATATGCTCATAGGTTGTTGGTTCATGTGTAGAAGATGCTTTTTTCATTCTCAAATCTGAGTGGGGGTTGGGGTGGAGTAGAAATAGGAATACTAACATTTTTAAGTATAGCTAAAAAATTGTTATTAATACAAGAAATGCCAGATAGCTCCACAAATCTCAGGTATGCTTTAACCATGTGTGTCAGTACATGTGTATGGAGACAGAGAAGGGAGAAATTTACAGGTCTGGCTTGCACACTGAACATGAAAAGGCTTGCTGTGGAAGATGTGCAAAACTGGGAACATCTTCTAGAAGATAATAAAATGATAGATTCATATATAAATCTGGACTCTAAAGATTTTTAGATTGCCCTTGTCCTCTCATGACAGACTATGACTGTTTCTATGGCTGTTTTCCTGCTAACTTAAACATATGCTCAGCTATGCCAACTCAAAAAGCCTATTTTTCTCTCTTTTGTGTAACAATTATATTGATACAGGGACATACACGAGATCCAGACAAAGAGATTTTGTTTTTTTTTTACATAAACTTCAGGCAGTTTATTTTGATATTACGAACCACGAACATAGGCAGAAAACTCAGAATTTGGGGACTAGACTTCCCAAATGCAACGGGTAAACAAAAGGCTTTCATTTATGGTAACTCAATTTTAGCCAACATGCCACAGTTACACTGTGCACCCAGGGCCCTAAAACAAAATGCAAAAGAACGTGTTTCAGTCAGAGACACCTTATGAAAAACCCTGCGTGCAGCACTGATATTCCAATGTGTGAGGTCTTTCCTGCTCCCAGCACTTTGAGGGAAAACTAAGCCAAGTGCCTTCACAATAAACCCACCCAACTCACTAGCTCTGTACTATCTGGCCCTATACCAGCTTTTCTTACTCTTCATCTTTCCAACTGGAGCTCCTACTCGCAGGCGGCACCCCTACGACGCCATTTCCGGCCTCACGCCCGCACGCTCACAGTTCATGCGCACTACGTCAGCGCATGCGCAATAGCGGTCATCTGTCTGCGCGCATGCCTAGAGACGCTCCGCGTCTTAGGCGGTTGATTGGGAGTAGGCGTCTCGAGTACCACCAGGAACTGCTTTAGCCGCCATGGGGAGACGCCCCGTTGTGGGTGCCGACTCTATGGGGCCGTGAGGATTCAGCCCTGACGAAAAAGGGGCCTCGTGCCGAGCGCGGAGCCGCCGGTAGGATGGAAGATCAGGCAGCTCCGGGCTCTGGGGGCGGCGACGAGCCCCCGGGCCCTAGCAAGATGAACGCGAAACGGAGCGGGCGCTCCTCGGAAGAGGAGACCCGGAATAAGACGAAGTTGGTGAGTGAGCATTGGGGTGGGGGTGGGGGAAGCCTGGGGCGGAGGGGCACGCGGCCGGGCTGGGGGGGGCTGTTTTTTTGTTTTTTTGTTTGTTTTGTTTTTTTGTTTTTTTTTTAAGGAAGGGTTCAATAATAATCTGTGATGTTTTTTGGGTACTCCTTGCTCTTGGGCTGGTGGTAACAGGAGGAAACGACGTGCGGGGGGTGCGCGGTGCTGGGAGGTGCCGGCTGGGAGGGGCGCGGCGCAGCGCTGGGCCGGGCGGCTGCGGCACCTGTTGCCGTAACCCGGGCCGAGCAGCTCGGCGCTGTGAGCGTGCGCTGCGCTGTGCGGGAAGTGGGAGCTGTGATGCAAGCGGTGTGCTTCACGAGTGAGCCCCTGAGTTAGTGTGAAAATAGCCTAAAGCGTTACGTGCGTGGCAGGGAGATAAGGGGGTGTGTGTGAAGATGCTGGAGTTTTTCTGGTTTCTTTGTAAGGAGCAGGTAAACTTTTGATTGCGTGAGTCCTCCTTAGGCCCGTGCTGTTTGTTAATTACAACTGCTTTTTGGTCTTAAGCAGTGTATTTCTTACAAACCCGGTGACATGCATAGGTACGTTTCAAAGCCATCAGTCCTGTGCTGTATCTCAAATTATAAATGGAGGAGTTGCAAGAGAGGTTAATTATATTGGCATTTACTTTGCTTACTCCAGTTACTTATATTTATTTGGTTTAACTTTGAATTCATTTTACCCTCATCTTCTGACTACCTTTCCAGAGAAGCAGCAGAGGGGTTAATTAAAACTTGGCTGAGTCTTCACATTGATTAGAGCATTAATTACAAAGTTTTGGTATAACTTGTGCAAGCTTTTTCACAGGTAATAGTAAAACTAAGTTAATATTTATTTGCTCCCACCTTGGATTCCTCTCATTAAGAGTAATGCAAAGGAGCCTTTGCAAATCAGCTGGAAACCCGTTTTTCTTGATGAAAACTAACTTGAAATGCACATGGGGAAGATGTTTAATTCATGTTGTGTGGGGCATCACAAATGCACTGAAAGTGACAATCATTTAAAAGGAAGACAAGATGCTGAATAACTTGAACTTTGCTTGTATTAAAGGCAACCATGTATATATAAACACAGCATAAACAAATACTGTGGTTTATTTTGTTTTCTGGTGCTATTGGAAACAAAGTGTCACTTCCTTGCACAGGATACATAGTAACAAAGTTCTTATTCTTAAAGTAACTAGCAGAACTGCTTGTAGACGCCTCGGAGGGAAGAGATTTTAAAAAATAGTCTTGTTAGTAGTTTTTGGATGCAGGAGGCTCCTTTAATTTGAGGGAAAAATTTGGACATAAATTTTCTGTTGCAGAGGAAAGGACTTTATCCAAATTAAAATCCAAAATGTTATAAACTTATGTGAGATGAGCTCAAAATTGGATTGAGCAGGCCAGCTGTTGTGTGCTCTCTTCAGTTACTCAGAGTCAGTAGGGTTGAATTTTTTTGCTGCACTTAGTGGGACAAATATATTCCCTTAGTACTTCAGTTTGTATGCAGACATGCTTTTGGTTTTTGAGGAGATAATTACACGCTGGCAACAACATGAATGTGAATGGTAGTACCTTCCTTGAACTCAGGGCAGATCTGTCTTTCAGAAGGTCAAGTGACTTGCTTCTGATGGTATAATTGGGTGGATGTATTGAATGGGGGAGGAGATGTCTTATTTTGGATATGATGTATGCAAACTCTGGATAAAGCTATAATGAAGTGGGATGTACCTTTGAGGAAAGATAAGGATGGAATTAAAGTGTATTTGAAGTTGAGGAATGTGAGCAGACAGATTCATTACTTCATGGTATCAGTTTATAAGGGAGGAACAAGACAAGCCAGGGAAAGGCATCATTTGTTATATAGAAGAGTAATCTTTTATAAATTTTTGCGTTTTTAAACACTGAATAAGGAATTGATTTTGCTGAGGCTAGCAATTCCTTTTGGCTATTGGAGAGCTATCTTGCATGTACTTATCTTTACTGTGCAAACAAGACAGAGGGGTAGTTGAGACTTCTGTAAGAAAATCTATGCTTCATGTACAAGTATTAAATTGTCACTGAGTTTGTAAATGAAACATAAATTTTGGTATGGAAATTTCCTTGGTTTAGCTTCACAGCTTATAATTTACAAAGTTTCAGTAGAGTTACATAGATGAATCAACCTGTAGGTTGTTGGTTAATGTTTGGAACTGTATGATGTACTTAGAGGTGTGCCTCTTTTCAATAATTTCAAATATAAAGTGGCATACTGAAAGGGACTTTGTGGGACAGGGTAGCTACGTATAGCAGCAGATTTATTTTCAGTGTCTGGCATCAGGCCTTTGGAAGAAGGATGAGGGGGAATGATCTTTATGTGGAATGTCATAAAGTTCAACAAGGCCAGGTATAAATTCACATGGGTTGGGGCACAAATACAGACTGAGTGGAGAATGGATTGAGATTAACTCTGAGGAGAAATGTTTGGGGATGAAAAGCTCAGTGTGAGCCAGCAGCAGTATGTGCTTGCAGCCTGGAAAGCCAACTGTATCTTGGGCTGTATTAAAGGAAGCATGGGCAGCAGGTTGAGGCAGGTAGCTCTTATTCCTCTGGTAGAGGATGCTCAGAGGGAGCACTTCTCCTATGGATTCAGGTAGAGAGAGTAGGGGTTATTCAGTCCCAGAGAAGGCTCTAGGGAGAACTTTCAGTATCTGAAGAGGGCTTGCAGGAAAGCTAGAGAGGGATCCTTTATCAGGCTATTGATAGGAGAAGGATTAATGTCTTTAATTGAAATAGGAATGGTTCAGGTTTGACATTGGGAAGGAAATATTTACTCAGAGGGTGGTGAAGCACTGGCACAGGCTGCCCAGAGAAGCTGTGGATCCATAGAACTGTTCAAGGCCAGCTTCAGTGGGGCTTTTGGTAACCAGATCTAGTGAGAGCTGACCCTGCCTATGGCAGGGGGTTAGAAATAGGTGATCATTAAGGTCCCTTCCATCCCAAACAGTTCTGTGAAACTTTTTTTTTTCTGTAAGACAGCTAAATTGATACATGTTCTCACATACAGTCAAAGTTGAGCTGCATTAAAACTCCTAACTTTTTTTTTTTTTCAGATCTGGGTTATTTTGAGAGTCATGTAAGTCTAATATAACCTTTTGGACTTGACAGAACTGCAGAGTGACAATTTAGCTCTAGTTTTTGTACTAGTAGTGTGTGTGAATTGGAGTAATTTTTATGAAAATCTTGTGTTCCAGGCAACATCACTACTGGAAGGACTTTGGTTTAATCTTTTTTCCACATCATTTTGTGCTAATGCAAGGACTGGAGGTGGGAATGAGTGCCTAGTGTTTCTGCCACTATTTTCGTTTATAATGGAATGGGCAGGAAAAAATGAAATTGTTTTAACAAACAATCATCTGATCTCATGTCAGCCCTAGCATGAGACGACAGCGAACAGCTACATATTTACCTTGGTTTGGCAACAGGCTTGTTTTGCCCACTTAAGGGTATGCCTGCTATACTAGTGGAAACACACTAGATTAAGTTGTCTCAGCAATTTCTGACTTCTGGGTTTTAGTCCTTAGCTTGGATATTGTTTGTGTCTAACACTAAAATAAGTATGTAGTAATGGTAAAAGAATTATTTAGGTTTTTTGGCTGTGTAGGAAACAAGTGCATGCTTGAAAGTGTTGGGTCTGTTTGGATGTGGTTGTCATAGTTTAGCTGAACCCAAATATGTTTCAAGTCTTTCCAAGACTTTTCAAATCTTTTAATATGAGGAGCTGAAGCCAGGCTTTTTACAGAAGTTCATATAATGAGAATGAGAGGCAGTGGAAAAGTGAAGCAGTTCTGACTGGGTATTAGGGAAAAATGGTGATTAAGCTTTGGAACTGGTTGATCAGAAGTACTGTGTATCTTAGTCATTAGAAGTGTTTGAGACCTGGAAACATGGACAAAGCTTTTAGCAGCCTGGTTTGTGTTCTGTGTTGACTCAGCTTTTTGAGCAGGAGTTAAGGCTGGACACCTGAGATATTTTCAGATGTCTGTGATGATATGAATCAGTGCTTGAAAAGACGACGTTAGAACAGGATATGTGGTGCTTCCTGACTATTTGAATGTTGCCTAGCTAGAAGTTCACATGGTCGATATTTTTTGTCTGAGTCAAGGTTTTATAGTATATCCTGTTGATTTTCTATTAGCATAAATAGAAGTATTTCTGTGTGTGTAGTGGCCAGTGCCACACTGAAAGCATGCTTCACTACTCCAAGTTAACTTCATCTTTGTGAGGTAGTTGAACAGTGATTAAAAACTGCACTTAGCAACAACCTTAGTTCTCACAAAGGGTTGTGGTATGAGTATGGCACTGTCTTTAAAAGTAGATTGAGAGAAAGAGCTTGTAAAATTGGGTAAAAAATTGTTAGGGGTAGGAGAGAGATTACTTAGTTGGAATGCAAGTAAATGCGATGATGTGGATTTGATGATTCATCTCACAAGGAGCAACTCATACTTGAGTTTAAAAACGGAAATTGTTTATGCTTCATACTGAAGCATTTTAAACTCTTTGAGCTCTAAAATCAATCAAAAACTGAGAATCCAAGAATCTGACTAATGTGCCATCAGCTAATGTCCAACAGTGGAATAAA